ATCTGCTATTCTTCAAATTCTAAATTATAAGTTTCGACGTTTCGAGCATTTCGATATTATAGCTTGCTAAGTTATTCTAACGTATATTATATTACACATTTTAATTTTTATTTCAATTGTTGTACTCTCATACACGTGAATCATACAAATGCCGTTAATCCTCGCAACGAGAAGATTTATTGACGGACCATCGAAGGATTATATCACGCGTATAACATTTATTTAGTCATGAACGTATGCAAATTGCAAATCTCTCCGTAGAGCTCGCCGTTAGCTCTCTTACCAGATACCGGCTTCTGCTTTTACGTAAAATGTAAATCGAATAAGATTTTATCAGTTTTTCATTCAGTGTCTGCGCGCGTTCATTCTAAGAACGCGGCGATGAGTAATGACGTCATTGTTAAATAATTATTCCAGCAGAGATCGCCTTTATTGCGTGAACAGAAATAGGTAGAAGACTCGAGCTCCGGTAAAAGGGTGAAAGCTGAAATAGACAACGATCGATTTTGCTGAATACGAAATGGATTCATTGAGATATGCGCCCGCCAGGGGCGGGTACATTGAAAAAAAATGTTGGTATTTGTGATAAATATATAAGTATATTACCATAAATTACAGTTATTACTGTAATATTATCAATAATTATATGTATAGCTCTATCAATAAATATACATAGTTGACAGTCGAAAATGATTATCAATATATTATAATTACCATAAAAATGGTTACAATTACTATAATTTAATATACTATATACCTATAATTTATAGTCATTTTTTAGGACAATCATATAAAATATAATTTTAAAAAATGGCCACTAGTTAAATTGTGGTATTTGCAATCATTTTTATGAGAATAACTATAATTATACTCATTTTCTGTTGCCAACTAAATTATATAGGGTGTCCCATTTTAACTTAGACACCAAAATATCTCGAAAACAATACATTTTCGAAAAAAATGCTTCAAATAAAAGTTGTAAGGTTTGAAGAGGGCCATCAGATGCCAGTACATGGAATTATAGTACCAAAAATTTTTCTCAGTGTAGGAGGAGAGGACGATACAGCCTTGTAGCTATCAATTGGCTATCAAAAGTCATCCCGTCCCAACGACGCATTTCGCCGGGTGTTATAACGGAAGGATATTATCAGTGATATGTAATCGTCAAAGAGTCATCATGACTAACGGTTGCCGCTGCGAGAAGTTCGTCATCTTGAAAATCGGCGCCTGTCGTCGAAGGAGAAAACGTGTCCGAAGCTTTCTTCCCCGTTAATCTCAAACACGGCAGTACCATTGTGTGTATATATGAGATATGTACACGAGATACATTCTGTTTACATAGTTAATATATGCCCTCGTGGTCCGAAGTTTCGCGTGAATTCCGCATGGATTTAAGTAACAATTTGTACATTGAGAGAAAAGTACTTTATGATTATAATTGTATGATGAAATAATAATGTTGGTTAAGAGTTCCATTTTTATAGTTATTTTATTGTTATATTATAGTAATAATAATATCAGTAATAATTCTATTTATAATTTCTTTGTAAAAAATATATTTAATTGGCATTGAAAATGATTGTAAAATACAGTCAAAGTATGATAATTGTAACCATTTTCTTCTTTCAATGTATAAACTATACTTTCTGATAACGAAAGCGGACGAAGAAAAATGTTTAAAAAGTGCAAAAAGCTTATATATTCGTTTATAATTATATCTAATTATTTTCAGGGACAATTATACGTTCTGTTTGGCATATAGAACTGTAATTATAATCAATTATTATTACTAGTATTATAGCAGTAATAATTATAAAAATAAAGTTCCTAGCCATAATTATTTTACCATGCAATTATAATCAAAAATACTAGTACTTTTTTCTCAGTGTACAGATTCAATTAACGCTACGATTTTTTATCTTATTGTTTTTTAATAATTGCGTTTGAAGATACACGCGAAAAAGTAACTAAAAGAATAAATTTTGTTACATGAGTGCTCTTTTATCTTTTACGAATAATAAATTTTAGAACAACTAAATCTATTTGGTGTGTGCAAAAATTTTATCGCGTTTTCCTTTTACATTTTATCATTTTCTTTTTTATTTGCGTACAATTAACACGCAACCTAAATAAAAAATGTAAACGTCCTTGATTTAATTAATTTAACCATCATAATCTGAGTGGGAGAACTTTATCTATAAAGTTCAAGGTACTGCTGAAGGGTACTTTTTTTTCTCTCGAAGAGATTTTTATAGATCATTCTCCAGAAGAGTTTCAAACAAATCGTACTTGATCAAATTCAAGTTAAAAATCAAATATTGATAGGAAAAAAAGAAGTGAAGATTTCATCGTTTTAATTTTGTTCACCTACATGCTTCAAAAATGTGGCGATAATTATGCCAAACAGCTCGAATAAATGAGAAGAAGTCAATATCATATTTTGTTTTATACATGCAAAATACTCCGAAGATATTATCGTTGTTCGAAAGATACATTCGAAAGATAAAACACGGAAAAAACATTTCTTCAGCTTTTTCTGTTAAGTATGTATTTTGATTGGGCATAATACATCTACTGATTATCTCGAAATAAAAGATTCGCTTTCGCAACCGCGAGCGCAATCCGATTCGATAGTGGACATCCTTCTCGAATTAATACGAGAGTGACATTTGCATGCGATCGCAATTTTTGCTTAAAAGTGGCCGTGCATTGGAATTTACGTGTTTTTTAGACTGATCTAAAATTCTAAAGCCGCTTACGAATGTCTGATGAGAATACGACTTGTAAATAAATCGTGGCGATTCTATATATACTTTCCCCGATCGAATTTTTCTATACCTTTCAAATATTCTTTTTAATTTCTCTACTTTTTTTAAAAAAAAGAACAATATACATTAAGAGAAAAAAATTATTGCAGTTATATCATTATAATTTAATTATAATTTACAGTTTTCGTTCATTATTACTTAATTTTGATTTTTAATTCAATTAAGATTAAATAATCTTCATTTTTTTTTAAATAATTTATAGTCATTTTTGATGCTTATAATATTTTTCTTTGCAGAATTATAAATATTATTAGTAATAATTTATTACTAATACAGCAGTAATAAAAATGGAGCTCCTCAGAATTATTTTATCATGCAATTATTAATCACAATTACAAAACATATTTATAAATATTTATAATTAATATCATAATTATATATAATAATTATTATAATATCTATATAACAATTGATTATATATTTTTTTAATAATATAGATACATACCAAAAACTTTTCTCTTAATGTATGGTTTCGTTTCGTTTATTAATAGATATAAAAAAAGAAGAAGTTACGAAGATATCGCAGAGAAGAGAAAGTGCCCATTCACTTTTGGCGCGCGTAATGCGAGCGTAATATTAATATTTTTATATATAATTCTAATTAACATTTTTACGTATATCTGACGCGCAATTAACATCCCTGATTCTCCTTCCCAGTATCGAAAATAACGTGTTAATGATTGCGCGGGTCGGAGAGAAGACTCCAGAAATTGAACATGCGTGGTACGAAAGGTCTATCCCTTTTCCACGTTTCGCTCTCTAACCTTCCTACACGATGCCTTTTTTCCCTTTTTATTAAAAGTCTGAATGTTTTCGTCTTTCAAATGCAACGAGCAAAATACGAGTACAGCTGAAAAGAAGTTCTTTCTGGAGTCATTTTCCTTTCGAATAAGGTTACCAGTACTCTTTTAAAACTACATGTACTCTTTTTGAGGTCGTAGAACTTCTGGTCATTAATTAAATTAATTAAAAGTTTATATATTTATAAAATTATATTAATAAGAATTGTCAATCAAAATTATGTTCTAGAAATGTTAGTTTATTAAATACCTACATTTAAGGTATAACAAATTATACCCTCTCCTCTTCCGCTTACGGAATAATTTTTTTAAAAAGTGTGCAGGTACCGTTTCCTTATGATTCAGACATGGTAACCCTACTCCAGGGGACATCACAATTACTATTATTACACTCTCTAGGAGCTCCATTGTCTACTCAGGTAGCATTCCTAAGCACGCGTTTCTGAACGGAGACACATTTCGCAGAAAACAAGATTATAGCGAAAAGCGTGAAGTGGAAATCCTGTGGAAATCGTACAAGTACGCATTCAAGAGGCGGCTCAATCGACTTCGATTGCTTTAATTGCCACGTCAATGTGCATGTCAATGTGGAAAGGAGAATTAAATCCGACGTTCCGCGGTCGATCTCGTTCAACCATGTCTGTCTGAGAAATTGCTTAACGCCGAGGATTCGCGCGAGACCAGTGGGGAAGGCAAGTCGCTCGCTCCTCACCTTCTTTCGTGAAAGCATGGCAAATTGGAAAAGGTGAGCGACTCGACGTCTCCCTATACACTGTGGTTTCGCGCGTGCCCTCGCTGTGAATCAACAGCAGGAACGGCCACGAAATCGCACCGAAATCGGAGCAGGCGACACCCTCTGACGTTGAGACGTCCTTTTCCCTATCAAGAACTCCAACAATCGGTCGACTGATTCCATTTTTTATCAACGTTTTCTCCTCAAACTTGAAAATTGGAGAGAAAAAAAACAGGCCCGTCCCAGTGTCAATTAAAATTTAAAAAATGATCGAAATGCCGGTGAAAGAACGGCACTTAAGTGCCGTCAATTGACGACATATCGCTGCAAATCCGAGTGTGTAAAAATAACACTATGCTGCATAGATTTATACATTTAAACGTGTACCATTTTTACACGGAAAACTATCTCTTATAAATTCTTTGGAGTGGAATCCCACTCTAAATAAAGAGTGAAAATCGAGGTAGTCTTGAAGAAGAATGGCTCAATGTTCAATCCTTAAGAGCGAGATTTCACTTTTCAGAGTGAAATTTGTTTTAAAAATTGTCGGAATTAAATAACACACGTATACGAAGTGACTTTTTCCACACTTGGATTTGCAGCGATATCGGTAGGGGCGAACTTTCACTCTCTACTCACAATCGAGATGTTTCTTCTTGGGGCCGATCATCTCCTCCGTGGTGGCCTTGCAGACGGACTTTGCGAGGCCCTGGCCGGCGATACTGTGCCTCGCGGCCAACAGCCTGTCGTTGATCGTCTGTCCCGCCATACTGTCCCGCTGTCACAGAGCAGTGGTAGCAGAAGTCAGCAGCAGTTGACGTTTGCGGCGAAGATCCGCGTATCCTCCCTCAACGATTCTCCGCCCTGGCTAGTCTTACCACCCTCGTTACACCGGTAACGAACGACGAAAGGATCGCGCGCGACTACGATGGCTCCAAGGACGAAAACGGGGACGAGGACGACGGTGGAACGGGGGGATTTCCTCGAGAAACGGTCGCGAGAAACGAGGTGAAGTTGGCCGTCCTTGACGCGACGCGGACGGGAGCGAGACTATGGGGGTTCGGGAGCACTCCGGGCTAACTTCACCGTGCACGACACCACGACACGATCACGATCACGATCACGGCCACGACACACGACACGACACGACACGACACGACAGAGTGATAGACCAGGCGCTTACCGCGCGAGGCGTCCGCGACGTCCCGCTCACCCCGATATTATACTCGGCCCGTCGCGCGCTGCTTTTCCGGTCCTCCGGCACCTTTCCTCGTTCACTCTCGTCCTCCTCCTGCTGCTCCTACTCCTCTACCTCCTCCGCCTCTCCTCGTCCGCCGCCACCACTTCCTCGGGCCGGTTTTCTCCGTTCGCGTTAACGGAGCGAACGATAGCCCGCCACAATTTTTCTCCGCGTTCCACCAGCAGCGGAGCCAGACAGCTCGCGCTTAGCTTCAACGGGCTCAGCTGGACGGCGTTACGTCGGCGGCTGACGGCGACAGCAGGCTCCTTCTGTCTGCCAAGATGGCGGCCGCGCTCAGTGCCGACCGTGCCGAGCGCGGCGCGCGCCACGCCGCACCGGCCCAGCCGACCAATCACGAGCGTTCGCCGCCGACGCTCCGCGGCCGCTGTGACGTCATTCCTACTCGGAGCAACCGAAATTCGAAGATCAAATCGAAACGAAAGGGACGCAGGTCGTTCGAATTAATAGCGGTTAATTTTTCATCTTCGAATATTTTGTTTCGTTACCGAAGGAACGTTTTATACTCAGAATGAAATTTTTTAACGACTTATAAGCGATATTAGCAACGCGATTTCCTAAGCTGCTCCGACGCCGTTCATCGATTGAAAATACAGTGTGAAGTTAGCGCTCATTCGTTGCAGGCATAGTTACCAACGTGCGAATTGCAATTCTTTGAAAGTTAATGATTGAATTAGAGAAAGTATTTCAAATTCTACAATTGTTTTTTTATTGTTTACAATTCTTTTCTAAACACGGAACGGTTTGGCAATGAAAAAGACAAAAAACTTTCAAAACTTTTTTTCTGTATATGTAAAAGTCATTCATGTAAATTCGTACGTTTCCATCGCTAATTTTGAAGAACAATAGAGAGGGCGTTAGTTGACGGAAAATGTTTCCAACTGTTTCAATCCACGCTTTTTTCAAAAATTCACATCTAAATTTTATCACAAAGAATTTATGAGGAATCAAATAAATGATCTTCCTTGAAATATATGTATATATATCTTAAAAAATAAATGCGTTCAAGTAAAACAAGTCACGAGAACGTCAATAACGTTAAAATAAATTATTGTTACTGATTGAAAAGTAATTTAATATAATTACTTTTTTGGAGCAATTTTAACATTATTTCGATATCGTTATGATTTGTGCTTTGCTTTTTAAATATCGATGTCAATTTCAATCAATTTAATTTCGAAGTCATTATAGGAACAAAACTATGATTCGATTAAAATTCTTTTTGTTATAAAATGACATCTTTTACAATAATATTGTATCAATATCTCGTAATTTAGTTACGTCATTTCTCATTGATTGCACAACTTCGATCCGGTTTTTGGTTTGTCTTTCAATGACAATAATTGAACAATCAAATAATTCATAATCAAATATCGTGACCAACGCAACGCATTTTCTTGTATATATTTCGAAAAAATAATACGCCAAAAGAGAATAGCGTGAAATAAGGCAAAGAGGATTTCCATTCTGTGCACTAAAGTGAATCGCCGATCGACTGCGAAAGTTTAGTTCAAAAAGCAATATGGCGAGGCATCGAAAGCAGTCGTGGCAATCATAATTAACAATAACTAATAGTAAATTAGTTTATTTTACTCGCGTTAATTTCTGTATGTTTAATATGAAATATCTAAACAATTAAATGTACAAACGATCATATTTTTATATTTTGTATGCACTAGTCGCCAATAAATTTAAATTTAGCATGAATCCGATGGATATATAGAAATAATTGAAAATTACCATATGACCGATCATCGGTGACTAAGTGTCACAACGTTACAGCAATCAAAGGATCGATTCTGTATCTTGAAACGAGGTGAAAATTACAAAAGTGAGCGAATTTACTAGAATACTGATAATTTCATTGGTCAACACCTAGTAAATTTGTTCACTTTTGTAATTTTCACCTCGTTTGAAGATACAGAATCAACCCCCTGCCTGTAAAAATATATTTAAGCATAAACGGAATTAATTTTTTGTTATTACAGAAAGAAGATTAGAAATTGAATATAATAGTTAGAATTGTTATATACAATTCTGCCGGTTAAACTATATAATTATCTAATTCGAAAAATCTGGCCGAAATCGCTTTTCTTATTACGCGTTATTGCGTAATTGGATTTTATATTTATATTTATATTAAAATAATATCTCGAGATAATAAATCGATTTATTGATGAAATCTTAAAATAAAATTTAAAATAAAGTTAAATATTACATCGAACAGAAAAAACGAAATCGGTAAAATAAACGCTGTTATTTTAATTGCTGAAATTTACTAATTTATTTAATTGATAAATTTTTCAAATTACCAATTTACTTAATTACTAACTTTATCTTACCAATTTATGTAATTAATAAAAAATAACGCCGCGTCATTATTTTTCAGGAGTTCGACCAAATTTTAATTAAATTAAACGGTGATTAATTTTTTCGTGTAACACTTTTTCACTATTTTTTATTATAAATAAAATATCGTGCAAGTTCTTTATGTATGAAATATATGTGGCTGTTTCAAATTTTGTTGCTATAATCTAGTGCTGAAAATTTATATAGTGCATAACGTAGGCTGTGGTCAAGGTCTACCACAAATGCTTTGAAGCGTTTGATTAACCAAGTAGAAAAAAGAATGTTATAAATTAACCAATCAAAAAACGCTTTAAAGCATTTGTAGCGCCGCGTTGGCAATACTTGTATATAAGCTATAGATTTTTAACGCTGGCAGTGAATTTTGGAGCACAGCTATATCGGTCCCTGGAACGTGACTGGAGCGCCAATTGAGGTCGACCGCGCGGCGAAGCGTGCTTTGCGACTCGGAGCGCGGTTCACTCCGGTTCAGTGCGGCGAAGTTGGCCGATAAGCGTGCTTGTGCGCGCGCGTGTCCTGCACTCGCGAAGTTGAAGATCCAAGACCGAAGACGTTCGGTCGGAAAGCGTAGAATCGTTGCGCGTGTAGTTCACATTTCTACGTGAACTATCCCGGCTGATCCCGGTCCCGGTTATCAAGATTCTGCGATACACGTTCGGTGCGATCAGGAGGATGACGACGGCGGTTGACAAGGAGGAAGCGCGGAAGCGCCTGACGTCGCTGCAGTGGCATGTAACTCAAGAGAAGGGCACGGAGAGGTGAGGGCCACATGTGCGAAACTTGGGAGTCTTGCTACTGATACCGGCGTCCTCGACAACGCTCCCCACGGGTTTGCTCAGGGCGACGACGACGACGACGTAGTGTCGGATGGTTTCTATTTTAGTGACCAGGATAATAATCCGAGCGAGATCGCACCAGGTCCGGTTCAGTTTATCTGGGTTATATCCCAAGCAGGTCACACGATAATGTCAAAATGATATAAAAATAAATTGAAAAGTAATTTTTAGTGTTTATGTTTTAGTCATTTTGATGCTGTTTTGATGTCGTGAATCTTAATTTTTTTGTTTCGTTTGGAGTCTTATTACAAGGAACCGATCTGGGAAAACGAGTTTTAGTGACCAGGACAATAATCCAAGCGAGAACGCACCGAATCCGGTTCAGTTTATCTGGGTTATATCCCAAGCAGGTCACACGATAATGTCAAAATGATATAAAAATAAACTGAAAAGTAATTTTTAGTGTTTATGTTTTAGTCATTTTGATGCTGTTTTGATATCGTGAATCTTAATTTTTTTATTTTGTTTGGAGTCTTATTACAAGGAACCGATCTGGACGAAGGAAAAACGAGTTTCTTTTGACGATACTCCTCAAGAAAATTTCCCACCAGCCTGCTCGAAGCGGAAATCTTACTCTTCCGTTAACAACCGCGACCTACTTCCTGTTATCGTGCTCCGCGAGGAGACGTCAGCTGATTCTGTAATGGGCGATCAAAGCGCAACGTGGAGTTGCGCAACGTATAATTATATTGATGACACAGACGGATGTTATTTGTCGTCTGCTCCATATTTATGCAATCTGCCGGGTGGATTCTCGCCGCTTGGCTTGGTTATTTAGAAATGCTCCGCTTAAATTCCGAGCAAGTCGAATTTACTGAAGTATATAAAAATAGTATCAATATACACCACATACGTTCGTCCGATACAATTTTATGCGTAAAAATTATTAACATAATAGTTATAACATATTAACAATTAATATATTATCCTAATAGTAATCCTACGCAATATGAAATATTTCAGAAGTTTTTCCAAAATATTTTACTGCAACCTTTGAAATATTTCAGGAATTTTTTATGAAATATTTCTAAAGTGTATAAATGTCCAGGAAATTAAAGTTTTTGAAAAATATTTGTTTTTTCACAAAATTTCTAAAATATTATTTTAGTGAAATAGTTTAATGCAATATTTTCAAATGTTTTACAATTGTTGAAATATTTTATTAAAATATTTCAAAAAATTATTTACATAAATATTTCACATAAATATACTGTATATAAAGGTATTACATCAATGTTATAATTTCCTACTTAATATAATCTTCATACTCTGTAAATTCTTTAATGTGAAATTTTATTCTAAAGAATGAAAATTGAACCAGTCATGAAAAAAAAAGACTCAATTTTTAATCTTTAAAAATGAGATTTTATTCTTCAGAATAAGATTTATTCTAAAAGTTTTATAATATATATTATATTATATTTATATTTTATTTAAACACTATAAGATCCACTTTGACTGAATATAGAATTTCTCTTATTTAATTATATTTATATTATTGAATGAAAAATTACAACATTGACATACTGTTAGTTGAGGTTTGCTGGGATTTCTCACGTTGCATGTCGCAAATAAAATGGCAACGTGACATAATTCACTACGACTGTCGTGAATTAAAAATAAAAAAACGCGAATCCCCGCGCGCTCGTTCAAGCGTCCAAGTTAATATTGGACTAGGAACACCGAAATAACTTTTTCAAGAGCGTCCTTTTGTACGTTTGTGCGTGAACGGTCTCATGGCCAGCAGGTTTAAAAATAAGCTATATGTGTCACGGTTTGTGACCTCCCTCTTTCTCCTTTCCATCCCTAATATTGCCACTTCATCATCCCCTGAGTCATTCGTTTGTTTTATTTGGTGCAGGCCATTTACCGGTTGCTACAACAAGTTCTACGAGAAGGGAACGTACACCTGCATCGTGTGCGACCAAGAACTGTTCTCCTCGGATACCAAATATGACAGCGGATGCGGTTGGCCAGCATTCAACGAGGTTCTGGATCAAGGACGCATCAAACTGACCAAAGACACCTCTCATGGTAAGCGAGCGCCGTTACGGTTTACCTTCGTTAGCGTATCTTTTGTAATTATGCTCGCG